GCCGCGGAGTGGCTGGGCCCGTGAGCCATGGCCGCTGAGCCTGCGCGTCCGGAGCCTGTGCTCCACAACGGGAGAGGCCACAACAGTGAGAGGCCCGTGTACCGCAAAAAAAAAAAAAAAAAAAGTAACAATACAGCTTTGCTAAAGTGACAAGAAAAGGGGTTTCCTGCTGAGGGCAGTTTACTGCAAAGAGCTGCTTACATATGCACTCCAACTCTTCCACCCAGTGGGTCTTAGTGATCACATAGATCTTACAAGTCCTGGGATGTGTCCTATTGCAGTTCCACAGTAAGTGGTGCTCAGTACACTGAAGCCCGTGAGTGACAATGTTATCACTCATGTGGTAGGAGGGCTTCCTTGGAAAGAGTACCTCGGGGATGGGTCCTCTGTTTTAGCCACCACTGCTGGACACTTTCAAGATGTCCCTCCCAGTAGTAGAGCCTATAATTGATTGACCCTGGGACTTCCTGGGACACAGACAGATCCTGAAAACAGTGTGAGGGGTGCCACTCAGGAGCTCCATCTGTTCAGGAGCAGATGACTACCTCTTTCCTGGACCCAAAGCCTCTGTTTCTTTTCCTTCCCCTTATTCTCATACCAGGTCTACAACTGCCTTTGCCTTTTGAACTCAAAGTATCCATTTCCTTCTTGAAAGTAAAAATTGAATTGTCTGTTAGGAAGTTCTTAGCCCACACAAACCCAGGAAGACCTGTTTATTCTTTCTGGGATTATGGAGGGTTTGGTACTTAGGAACCCAAAGGCCTGTTATCCTCCTGGGGGTGGAGGTCACTGTACCCACCCCCTGTCCTTCCCCACACCCCTGTCCTGATGCACATTCACACAAACATACACAGCAGGTATGGACCAAGGATACTTCTTGTCACTTTCTTGCTAAAAACTGTAAAAAAATAATTGTCTAGGACTTCACTGGAATATAACTACATATAAAATGACTTAGACACACAACAGCTGTTTGTACTGTTGACCTGAAAGAAATAGACCGCCAGGTATTTCTCCAGCAAAGGTGGGATTATTTGGGATCAGCAGAGAATTACAATTCAGGGTCTGCAACCACGGTTAGCCATATGCAAGTCCCCACACAGCGAGGGAAGGAGAATGCTTTTCTAGAGGGAAAAGGAAGCTGAGAGGGCTGCAGTAAAAAGAGTCCATGACTTCATTAACTGCTGAGTCCTTGCTAAAAGAGGTCTTTCTTCTTCCCGGTCGGCTCTGCTGCCATCACAGGGTGTGAGAGCTCCCCCTGCTGGTCTTCTGACTCTATTTAATGGCAGTTCCTGTTCATTAACTTTTTACAGTAGAGATCTAAGCTGGCTTCTTGAATTTGATAGCTGCTTTTTATAATAGATATGAATACAGTTATGGCTGCCTCAAATGTCATCTCTATCCTTTTCTGACTCTGCTGATTGCGGTGTGCAGTGGTGAGGATGGGAAGAAGGAAAAAGGTTTTAAAAGTCTGAAAAGGCATTCTCTATGCAGTCTTGCTGAGATAATAAACAGAATCATCCTCTGAGCTAATACTTACTAAGGACTTACTAAATGCCATACATTGTGCCAGGTATCTCATGTTCTTCTCCCGAAACCTCTGTAACTTAGATGATATTATTACCCCCATTTCAGGACATCGCCAAAGCCAGTTATTGCACCTAACACCCCCTTATCACTAAAGAAGAGGCAAAATCCTTGGTAGATTTTCTTTTTCATTTTGGAGGCAACGTATTCCTCATTTAAGTGTACTGCTGTGACCCAATCACTGAGGAGACCAGACGACTGTCAGTTTTGAGTGAGGTCCAGGGCAAAAGACGAGTCTGCAGCAAGCCCACGTTGCCATGGAAGCTGCTCAACCATGGAAGGGGTACAGTCCTGCAAATCTGATGTTGCCTGAGATGACTGTGGCAAGTATGGATGTTGCATGGGGCATCCGAGGAGCCAGGAGAGGAGAATTACAGCATAGCGTCCTAAGATTTTAGACAAAAACTATGTACTCTCTTCTAGAGATAACTCCTGAGATAACTCTTCTTTTGAGAAGTAGCATCTGATTTCTTACTGAGTCTTACTGGAAATTGAATGCTTAACCGTGGGACATCAAGTGACCACAAAATCATGAGATAGATTTTAGATAATCATATTGTATATGCACAGCAGCAATCCATCCTCAAGAGTAAAAACAAACAAACAAAAAACCAAAACAAAACTAGGCTCAAACAGGCATAAATAAGTTGTGTGATGTGTGAGCAGGTAGCTCAGGCTGCTATGGCACCAACTTTTGCCTCATTTCCTCCTCTCTCTCAGCCCACATGTAGAGTTCCTTATAACCGGTTAACTAAAGAAGAAAAACTAGGGCTTGTTTCATGACGATTTTGCACAAAATACTGAAATTAATTGGAAGTGAACAGCTACAACATTACAACTCCAACTAGGATTGTTCCTGAAAAAAAGTGATGAAGGGAATCTTTACAAGGGACAGAACTTCAAGCATTATAAATGGTCCTCTTCTCAGTCTGACTTGAAACCAAATGAATTCTGATTAATTCATCTTTAGAGTTGAGGCTCAAGGACCTCCCCTCCTTGGGGTAGGAAGTCCAGCATTTAGCTAGGGAGATAGAACCAGCCCTGGGGATGAGACACTGTTACAGTTTCCAGAGTACAAGTCTGGGTAAGAAACAAGCTGAGAGTTCTCAGCACCAGCAAACAGGGCACACAGCAGGACACCCACTGTCCTTGAGGTTGTGAAGAAACTTACATACTAGCTAAGAAGGCAAATATACCAATAAACGATTATGTAAATGAGATAGTTTCAGATAGTGGGGCTTTCTATGAAAGAAACAAAATAGAAATCAAAATATGTGGTTAGATAAAATGAAGCAAGCAACAACAATAGCAACAGTAACAACAGCTACTATTTGAGTGTTTAGTAAATTTCAGACATAGCTCCAAGCCCTTGGCACAAGTTAACTCATTTCATCCTCACAAAATATTGTTATTCTCATTTTAATATGAGAAAACTGAGGCATAAGGAAGTTGAGTATTTGTCCAAGAACACATGGGGGCTGGTGGACGAGTCTGCCTGGTTTCAGGGGCAGGTTAGTGCTGAGGTTCCCACAGCACCCGACTTTCCGATTCCAATTTGTTTCTGACCTTTCTGATCAGTATTCTAAAAGCAGTTGTTTTTTAATAATAATTTCCCACTTCTATTTAAGGTCACATAAGTTGGTCCACATTCCCTGATACCAGAAGAGTCCTATCGATATTTTATGAGTAAAGAGCTATTTCCACTTTCAGTAGATTGAAACCTGTGTGGAGAGCAAGGTTCTCCTCTTTACCGTATTGGTGTTAGGGGCCTTTCTTTCCATTAGGTACTGAGGGACCAAAAAAAAAAAAGTTTGTATGAAGAACTAGTTGAGGCACCTGGTTAATGGGAAGCTAAAGCTAAATGGCTGGGTTGACTATTGAAAACAGATGATAATCACAAGGATACTACTTTATTCTGGACATGGATCATGGATTTTTCTACCAGATTCCCTTTGTTTTCAGGATCCATCTCACCGAAGTCTGTCATTTGTCAAATCCCAAAGAGATTGATGGCACAGACATTGTTCCATCAATAGCCACTTGTAAAACCTGCCCTTCTCTTTGAAGAGGTCTTATCCCTCCCTCATTAGCATTCCTCAGCAGATAGGGTTACCTTTTAGGGCAGACCCTGCTCACACAGAATGACAGGCAGGAGACTGGGGTGCAGATGGGTGTAACCACAGAAGTCTCTTGGCCTCAAGTGACGGGAGCCTCACTCTTGTAGCCGTTAGAGAGAAGGGGCTTAGCTAGATAATATATGAGTTTTCTGGGTGCTGATAAAGGGAGTGGACCTTGCCTGGAGACCATAAAGCAGGAACGGAAGTCACAGATTTTTTTTTTTTCCTTCTGCCTGGAACTGCCAAAGAAAAGAAACCAGACACTTGCACAGAATTGCTCATTTTCCAATCTTTTCAATCTGCAAATTTCTGAGAACTTCCTCAGCAACCTACTAACCACTACTTCTTCCTTTTGTGCTTACTTCCCTCTATTCCTTTTTTACCCCTCACACCATATGTAAAGCAGCCCAGTCCTAGCTGAAAGGCTGAAGAAATTAGCAGTTGTTGAAGCAGAATCACATTAATTATCCATCGATAGAGAAGAGGGGAGAGATTTATTTTAAGAGTGGCTTGTGTAGATAGATCCATTCAACTTCCTTCAAACCAAGGAAGGGAGAGAGAAGAATTTACAGTTGTCAGAGAGAGTAATGTGTAAATATGATTTCATCTACTAGAAGGACAGTACTGGGAGGAAACTGAAATGTCAAAGGGACCTGTGAGTGGCTATTTCATTGTAAGTTATAATCCTTGATATAAATGTCTCTTTATTCACCAACAAGGCACTGTTTTTGGCTTGCATCTTAAGAGTATGTCCCCTGTAAGTGCGTAGCACAGACAAAAGTGGATGCTCCAATATATATTCCACCATACTTGCTTTTGGAAAAATGAAGCTGTTCTCTAGGCTGAATGACCCAAGGATTATGGTTCTTTTAAGCAGTAACCCTAGTCCATGATTCTGAAATCATCCTTTGCTGTTAGGTTGTTTGCAGTTAGGGGGCCGTATTCTTAATTCTTTCTGTCTGACACCTAATTTTCAGAGATTTTTGAGCATCAAGATACCCTGCTTTGGAGAATGCAATTCAAGAAGTGGCATGTCTTCCACATTACACATGGGTATTTCCTCTCTTCAGACCAAGTTTTGGTTTCATGTTTTGAGAAATTTAGAGAAGTGTCAGCAGATGTCCTGTCTCTTCACCCATGGCTGGAAGAGGGCATTTTCATAAATGAATATATCTTTATATTCTATTAGATAACTTTGGCATATTAAAATACCATGAACAAAAGTATAAGGCAAAGGACACACCATGAATATCTACATCACACATAATAAGTAAAGAATTAGTATCATTAGTTCATAAAGTAATCACACAGTTCACTAGGAAAAGACGGTTCCAACTGCTAAAAAAAATATAAAAATATTATCACAAACTGACTATTGGTTTAAAAAAAAGAACACTACCCCACACACATAAAATGATATTCAACTTCGCTAATAACCAAATAAAATGTAAACCATCAAATATAGCTTCTGTTATCATATTTGTAAAAAAAAAAAAATACACCACCCAGTGTTGGAACACATACACGTTTCTGGAACAATAAAATATAAAGTTGTACTCGATTAAGAGCTTTAACATTCTTTATACTCCATTTCCCAATAAGAATTTATTGTGAGAAAATAATCAGAGATACAGACAAAAGTTACACCTCAAAGTTTTTACAAAAGTAGAAAAAAAATGAAATATACTAAAATGGGAGAATCTATATCATGCAATTATAGCTATTAAATTCATGTTTTAGAAGAATACTTAACAGCATGAAAAATGTCCAAATATATTGAGTACTGAAGGAAAACCATATCAGAGGGCAAATTGGATCTTCAGGAAAAGTTAAGAACATTGAAATATCTGGAGAAAGGTAAAAGATTACAATTTTCTACTTAAGTTATTTAAAATACGTGTGACTACTTAAAACATAAATTACAACAATGACTTATGTGATTTTTTTACATGTATGTAAATGTAGTACCTATGACAAATATCACATAAAGAATTCAAGGAGCAGGGATATAAAGATACCTATATGGTTTCATTTCTCCATTTTCTATGGAGAAGTAGAATACTAATTTCAAGCAGATCAGGAAAGATTAAGAATGCATATTGTAATCTCTAGATCAGTCTTTAAAAATAATATAAAGACATATAGCTAAAAAGATAATAAAATTGCCATATTTAACACACTAAAATAGGATACTAAAAATATTCAAATAATTAGAAAGAGGGAGAGGGAAAAACAAAGGAACAGAAAAACAGTAGAGAAAAATAGGAAGCAAAAACTAAAGTTAATAAGTCCAACCATATCAATAATTATCTGAAATGTTATTGGTCTAAACACTAATGAAATGAAAGAAATTATCTGAATACTTAAAAAAGTGAGACCCAACTATGCACTGCTTACAAGAAACACACTTGGAATATAAAGGCACTGATTGAAAGTAAATGGATAGACACATATACATTATTCAAACAATAGCATAAGAGAACTGGAGTGGTTACACTAATATTGGATAAAATAGATTTCAAGACAGATTATTATTAGAGATAAAATGGAATTTCATGATGAAAGAGACAACTTCAGGAATCCATAATTATTAACGTGTATACATCTAGTACCAGAGCCTCAAATACATGACACAAAAATTGATGATAAAAAGGGAAAAATACATAATTCCACAATTGTAGTAGGAAATTTTTAACATTCTTCTCTCAGCTCTTGAAAGAACGTTAGACAAAAACTCAATAAAGACACAGAAAATTTGAACAACACTCTCAACTTCCTCGACTTAATTGATATTTATAGAATAGGACACTCCAAAATTGCAGAATATATATTATTTTCAAGTGTACATGGTATATTCATCGAGACAGATTATATACTGGGTCATAAAACTAGTCCCAATAGGTCTGAAATGACTGAAATAATAGAATGTTCTCCAATAATAATGTAATTAAATTAGAGATCAGTATTGAAATCATGTACATACCCCTGTGACCTTGTCGTTTGAAGTAAAGGCTGACTCAAGAGTTAATGATTGGGAAATGTGAATATGTAGAAACAAGGAATAGCTGTTGGGCTGGGGAACTGGTAACGATTTAGACTATAAATCCACCACATCAAATTAAAAATGTTTGCTTTTGAAAGGTACAGTTAAGAAAATGTAAAGGCAGGTCATGTATTAGGAGAAAATATTTGCTAAGCATTTCTGACAAAGGTATACATATCCCAAATACATAAAGAACTCCAGTAACTAGTAATAAGAAGACAAAGAACTCAAGTTATAAAGAGGCAAAAGAAAGTTTACTCAGCAAATAGTGCTGGAACAACTGGATATTCACAAGAAAAAAATGAACATTTTTCCTCACACAATACACACACAAAAATTTTCACTCTAAATGGCTCTTAGGTTTATATGTAAGAGTTAAACTATAAAATTTCTAGAAAACGAAATAGGAAAGAATCTTTTGACTTTGGGGTATACTTTCTTATATAAAAAACACAAAGCTTACCCATAAAATGAAAAAGTAGATAAATTGGATTTTATCAAAAATAAAAGAATATCTTCTCTTCAAAAGACACCATTAAGAAAATGAAGGGCAAGTTACAGACATGGAGAAAACATTTGCAACACATAAATCAGACCAGGATATATAAACAAACAAACAAAAAAACCTCTTGCAACTCAATCATAAAGAAGACTCACCAGTAGGGCTTCCCTGGTGGTGCAGTTGTTGAGAGTCTGCCTGCCGATGCAGGGGACGCGGGTTCGTGCCCTGGTCCGGGAAGATCCCACATGCTGTGGAGCAGCTGGGCCCGTGAGCCATGGCCACTGAGCCTGTGTATCCGGAGCCTGTGCTCTGCAACGGGAGAGGCCTCCACAGTGAGAGGCCCACATACTGCAAAAAAAAAAAAAAAAAAGACTATCCAATAAAGAAGAGGTAAAATGTGTGAATAGACACTTCACAAAACAAGACCTACAAAGTGCTAATAGGGAATTGAGAAGATAATCAACATCATTGATTATCAGTGAAATCAAAACCACAATGAGATAACACTATACCACACTACAAACTCTTTAGAGTGACCAAAATTAAAAACTGAAAATGCCAAGTGTTGGCAAGGATGTGGAGCAACTGTAACTATCAAACACTGTTTGTGGGAATGTAAAATGGTACAGCCATTTTGGAAAAGAGTATTGCAGCCTCTTAAAATGTGAAGCATCAATCTACCATGTGACCCAGCAATTATACTCCAGAGTGTTTACAAGGGAGTGATGAAAACATATGTCCACACAAAGAATTGTACATGAATTTTCATAGCAGCTTTATTTTTAATAATGACAAATGAAACAATCCGAATGTCCATTAACAGGTAAATGGATAACAAAAGTGGTATATACATATAATGGTATATTTACTCAGCAATAAAATATATATATATACTATGGATTCATGAAGCAATGTGAATGAATCTCAAAATCTTTCTGCTTGGTGAAAGAAGCCAGGCACAGAAGAGTATATACTCTATGGTTCTATTTATATAAAATCTTACAGCATACACTGTAATCTACGGTGACAGAAAGCATATCAATGACTGCATAAGATAAAGGTGGAGGGAAAGAAGTATTACGTACAGGATAAGGAAACTTTGGGGGGTGATGGAGATATTTGGCATCTTGATTGTGGTAGTGTCTTCATGGGTGCATATATTTGTCAAAATTCATCAAATTGTATACTTTAAATCTATGCAGTTTACTCTGCATAAATTATTCAATTATTTGTAAAAAAAATAAAATAAATGTAAAGAAAGTAATTATAGTAATGTCTTGAATCTTAATGCCTCAACTGTTACCTTCCTGACTAGTTGGGAAAATAATTGCCTCATGAATCTTCTCTCAAATATTCCTTCGACTCTCCCTGACTGCTTACAGGTACTACTATTTGCCCTTAGTTTGAAGATCTGCATAAGGGGTTTGGGGAGGGAGGTCCTCCATACACTCGGAACTATTCTGTAGGCTGTACAGCCCCTCTGGTGTCCCCATTTCTTGCTGGCATTTCCTGATTCTGTCCGTCTTATAGGTTGCTGTCCTTGGTGCTGCTTGCACCTCTTGCATGCACTCCTGGAGAGTGGCTTTCACTGTCCGTGGGAAGCTACCTCAATCCTGTCTTTCTCCCTTAAGGATTTTTTTCTCTCTGAAGTCAAGAGAGAAAACCTGCCTTTTGTCACAACTCTTTTAGATGGGTTTCCCACAGCTGGATCTAGTGTCATGTTCCCCTTCTCCTGTATACCTTATTCGTTCTGGAGCTCAAGGTGGGGAGGCATTTGGAGCAAAATTTAAGGACAGACACAGACTACACCTGGATTCCTTTCTCCCTCTAAAGGCCAGGCATACATTATGGATTGCATGTTGTACCTACTAATATGGAAACTAGAATGGTAAGTCCCTCTTTCATAATAAAAATATGTATTTCCTCTTTAAGAAGGCAATCATTTTTTCCCTTGGCAAATGATCTTGTTAGTTGAATTCATTAGTCAAGGCTAAAAGCCTCAAATCAGATTGCATTTTGATATATGTTATACTTCCTGATGTCTAAGCTTCTGACACCCAAGGGGAAAAACATAAAATTTGAAATACACAATACTTTTATGCTTGAGTTGTTTTCAAGGTTTGCAAAGCATCATTTCATTATTTACTTAACGTTATCAACAATGGCTGGTGTAAAATCAATGATGTCCATAAATTGTATCAGTTGAGGTGCATCAGTCCTCAGTGAACTTCTACCTTCTTTCCTTAAGGTCTATTGTTTTCAAAGCTAAAAAAGTTCAGTGTAACACTAGGTGATAGAGGCTAACAATTTCAATTATTCCTTTTCTGCCTCAGCAGAACTTATGAATAAAACTGCTTCTGACATTTTTGCTGGCATACTTAAAAAAATGTTTTTTCTTCATTGGTAGACACCCAATATCTGTCAGTCAATTGAGGAATTGATTAGGAGTCACTGAGCAATGGAAGGGGATGTCTTCCTTTGAGCCTACTAATTGCCTTGCATCTCTACACCCACTGCCAGCTCAGGTCATGAGGGCTCCTGAGTGACACTAAGCTTTACCATCTGAGTCATGTAAATCATTGGCTCTACTGACCTTCCAAGATTGATGTTGATGCTTCTGTAGCCATCAAATAGTGGATGTTGAATAATTAAACAGTAAAACTGAGCTGCAACTTGTAGGAGGAACGTTTGATCTTATGAGAGATGAAGTATCTTGAAGACTACAAATTCTGTGTGGGCTGCGGTGTGTATGTGTGTGTGTGTCATATACCTGCATCTATCTTTATCTATCTATCTATCTATCATCATCATCGTTGTCATCAATCATTTGTCATCTATGTATCTATGTATAAATTTGTGTTAGTCTGCTCTGGCTGCCATAACAAAATACCACAGACTAGGTGGCTTAAACATCAGATATCTATTTTCTCACAGTTCTAGAAGTCCAAGATCAAGGTGCTGGCAGAGTTGGTTTCTGGCGAGACCTCTCTTCTTGCCACCTTCAGGCTTTGCAGATATCTTTCTTGCTGTGTCTTCACATGGCTTTTCCTCTGTGTGCATGAAGAAAGATAGAGAGGGCTCTGGTGTCTCCTCTTCTTCTTAGAAAGACACCAGTCCAATTCAATTAGGGGCCACCCTTATGACCTCATTTAACCATAATTATCTCCTTAAAGGTCCTATCTCCAAGTATAGTCACATTGAATTTTGAGAGAATACAATTCAGTCCACATTATACTATCTAATCAGACAATTTGGAAGCTCTCTCCCATTAAATAGAATGTGTTATTTAAAAAAATCTTAATACTGATGTATAGTTCATGAAGAAATAGTATATATGTGGCTAGAACAAAGCTTTTTGGTTGTTTCCAATTTGGTAGCTGGAACAAAGCATGTACAACAGAACATCAGCCATGCCACTATCAACCCCACAAAAATGGAAACAAGATGTTTAGAACAAACTGTTTATGTAGAGATAGTACATAAAAAGATTTTGATCCCACTTAGATCAACTGGTCACGATTGCATCCTCGTGATCCTGGCTAGACCATTTCTCCTTTCTCATCAACAGGCCTGGGAGCTGAAGGCCCAACTGCCCTGCCTTCACATGTGTCTCTACTGTGAAAAGAATGCAGAATTTACTCAAATGCTGCTCACTATGTTCCTAGATAATACACAGACTCAGGCACAGAGGAAGTTGGCAGAACTTTCACCCAGCCTGATGTCCCCTATAGCCCAGCCTCTTGGGATGCTGAGCCCTGGGGGGAAAGAGGTAGCATGGCTGGAGATAACAGAGATAATGACACAGGCTGCTTCTCAGGGTCTCTGTGAGCCACTATGGGTACAGAGCTAGTGGTCTATGGCTGACAATGCACATGGGACATTCTCATAGTTTTCTGCAGCATCTTCAAGGTCCCTGTCTTGATTGATGGCCAGCCCTGCAGAATCATCTAGATGTGCCTTCTTCAACTCTGAATAGATGACTGCAGGCTCCTAGTGGAAAACAAAACAAAACAAAACACAAATAGTAAGTACCTAAATGTAGGTGAGGAAGAGCAGAGGGGAAAGAAAGCCAGGAAATATGACCCACCTTATCCTCCCAGTGTTTCTTTGGTGAATTTGCTATTGGATGGGAAGAGGAAAGAAAAGTATTAAACTGTGGGTAATACATTGTAACTTACAACCTACTCACAGTGCATTCCAAGCCAATCTTTCCTCTGCTGACTCATTTCCTGTCTCCTCTGCTGAATTCTTCCAAAGCCCTCACAGAGCAAGAATCTCATCCTCACACAAACAATAAAGCCTTTCCTCTGCCCATAAAATGCCCAGAATGACTTTCTTGAAAATATCTTCCTTTTTCCACGGCTCATCACAACCCCAGCAGAGCAACTCTGTTATTCCCACCTCCCTACTACTATTTAGGGTCTCTATGGCTACATTGATCATCTGGGAGAAGGAAGTAAATATGATTCACTTCACTTTGCACAGAGAAATTGGAGGAGGCAGCTCCAATAGGGACTTGGCATTCTAAGGCCAAACAGAAAATGCCCAGTAAGCCAAAGATATGCAGTGCTAACATTGAGAAAATTCAGTGTGTGTGTATTTCTCCTAACCTTCCAAGGGATTCTTTGGATCTCTTTCATTTAGTTACTCAGCCAATAAGCATTCAGTGAACAATGACCTTCTATTAAGCATTGGTAAGCCATAAAGTGGGGAAAATGACATAAACTCAGTCCATACAATTAAGAATCTTATCATTTTTAAGGAAAGAAATAGAGAAATAGACATGGAAACAAATGCAAGAAGTATTATGAGCACCAAGATAAAAATACGTATTAAACTATGCTGTTGCCACAGAGGGTAATCAGTTCCTCTCAGGTTAGGAGATAGGGAGGGCCGGTGGGAATTACTGAGTTTCACGATGGTAACTGAATTATTTCTTGAAATGTGAGCAAGGGTCACAGACAAACTAGAGGCAAGAACATTACAAGACAAATACGAAGCATGAGCACCAAAGCACAAAACAACCCAGTTTGATCAAAGAAATGTTAAGAGTTCAATATGGCTAAAGTAAGGACATAAGGCAGAGCTTAGAGGAGGGACAAAATCACAGGGGAAGGCAAGGGTCATGCTTTAAAATGGAGAATCACTGAGGGCAGTTAACCTAGACAATGATGTGATCAATTGTGCATCTCAGAGGGATCATGCTGGAAACAGGTCGTTACAAGGTTTGAAGGAGAATGAGATTAGAAATAAAGAGACCAGTTAAGAGAATTACAATTGTCTACACATTAGATAATTAAAGGCTTAATTTATTATGCCTTTGTTCATTTATTATGCCTATGTTCATTCATTCATTAAAGAAAAATTTGAGGGGGCCTAACATTTTCTAAGCATAACACTATATGCTACTGATATATTAGCAAAGAAATAAGGTGTCTGTCCTTAAAGAGTTTATGAGGTAATGGTGGCAGTGTAGACAGGTAAGAGGGAATGGATATGATTAAAGGATTGGTAACATAAGAGGAGCAGTTAATGCCTCTCATGTTGGATTCATATTGAGATGACTCTTTGATCAAAAACCCCTTGCTGGATTTGATAAAACACTGCCACCTTACCTCTACTTGTGTCTCACCTGAATTTTCTTTTGTATCTTGGATGCTGCAGATCTGGGAATAAACCAGGTCACTCTCACCAAGATCCACTGCAAAACAATAGATCACAGTTGGCTGCAGTCAAGAGCTCACACTATAAACTCTTCTTCCCAGTCACCAAGTTTATAACCACCTTCTAACCTTGACATAGTGCCAGAAATGACATTTTTATATTGAATATGACTGAACCATGGACTGTTGCTCAATCTCTCTTCCCTCCCTTGTTCCTCCCTGGAGCCTTCTGTTCCTTAGGAAGTTCTCACCATTGCTGTACACTGGCTGCTGTTCCATTGGGTCTGGTGGTTCAGAGTAAGTGGGTTCTTGGGGGTCTGTGTTGGAGGTTCTAGAAGGTTCCTTAAACTCCCTGGGACTGTAACTGTGACAGAAGGGGAGAGAGACAAAAAGGAGAAAAGTATTTGTGGACTACACAGAATCTCAGGAAAATCAATATCCAGGAAGAGCTCAGCATGGTTCACGTGAAAATATCATGGCTGCTACTCTGAGTCTTCATGCTTCTTTTGAGAAAACGTCAGAAGTATGGCACAAGACAGGGCCAGGGCAGCATTACAGAGAAGGCCAGCTGAGGCAAGGTCAGAGGACAAAGGCTACATAGATCAAGGTCCCTTTGATAGAGTAAACACTTGTGTTTGCCTATTTTTTATTGCTTTCAAAAGTTTAAATGTTTCAACATTGGTACACAAAGGCTTCTGCATTCCACAGAAGTTGACCTTTGTCATTTTTTAGGTTCCTTTCAGTTTTCTACCTCATATTACAATGATCTACATTTCCTGTAAAATATTATGAAGAATCTTCAGGAAAAGTATATTTTTCCAATTTCATTTGCTTCTGCAGTTAATATTGTGAGTTGAACATTGCCAGCATTCAATAATTGTTTCCTGAATGAGTGTATGAGTGGGGAAATGAGCGATAAGGGAGTGAATAAATGTAGCCTTATGAAAGATGATATCATTAAGACATCAGTGATCAATTCTCTACTGGTGCACACTTAAGGAAGGAGATAAATTAACCATGGATAGTAAATAATATTAATTCTGTGTATAAGTAGGTATAAGTGAGTATTATTCACAACTATGATCGAAAGTGGCCTTCTTAATCACATTTTTTATTTCATAAGAATTTGAAATTTTAATAGGAAATGAGTAAAATATTTTTAATGTACATAATTCCATGTTCTATCTTGTGAGCATAAATAAAATGAAAATGCTGACAGCACAAGAAGAAGAGACCTCACCTAGGTGTTCCAGTGGTGGAAAGTCCTCCTGAAAAACGAAAAAAGGAACATTGATGATAAGTGATCTCTGTGGACAATGTGCTCTATGTTAGAATATCCTTTCCCAGAAATCAAATTCAGCCTAGATTTCAGCTATGGCAAATCTTTGAGAACATCCGGCTCCACCCCTTATGTCATGTTATAGATAAAGAAGGTGGGGTCTGGAGAGACATTTGCACAGAATCACACTTATTCTCCATCATTCAATCAGTAATAGCAGCATGAACTCTAAGTAGTTGTGACGAAGTAGCAGAAGAGAGACAACTTAATATTTAACTCTAGATCAAGTGCTTCCCATACTCCCACTTCTCTATTCTCACTGCAGCCCTATGAGGTAGAGACAAGGAGACTGAGGCCTAGAGGGGGGTTAAAATTAATACTTGTTACACAAGTATGACTCAATAGGACTACCAGAATAAGCCCAGACCTTTCTTTATCTCTGACCTTGCAAATCCATTTCAACAACATTGGGTGCATATTGTTTTCTCCATACCCCTTCTTTCCTTCGCTTTCACCTGGCTAATACCAATTTATCTTTCCTCCTCCAGAGCTTTCCCTGATGCCAACAGGCTGGATTAAGTGACCTATATCCATGCACATAGAACCCTGCAATATTAAAATTACTATATTGTATTTTAATTATCTATTTCTGTGTTTGCCTCTAACTCTCTCCTTCGTGAAAAGGTGTGTTACTTGAGGGAGCAAAACTTGTCTTAATTATTTTTCTATTTCCAGTGCCTAGAAGGTTGAAAATATCTAGTAAAGATTTGTTAAACGACTGAACAAATTAAACTGTGTACTATGAGGACTAAAAGAAAAACAAGTTGATGATTTTTTAATAGGTGACTACAGGTAAACCTAATTTGGAAGCCTACTCCATCAGCCTTGAAAATATGCCAGCTTTCCATCAACACAAAAATATTGAAATCTTTCTGGCCTGCCCAGTACAGCCTCCTCCCAGTTCCCCATCTCTGCCCTTTGCCTACTTATCTGTGGCTCTATATCTGTCTCACTGGTCTTAGAGGATACAAGTTATTTCCCAAAGTAAACATATTCAGCCTTACCTCTCATGGAAAATGACTGATTAATGCCTACAAACCCCATCTTTGGGAACCAGGTGTCCTGAGTTAAACTAGAGGTGTGTAAGCATGATCCTGGCCTATATCTCTCTCCTCAGGGCCATTGTAACCATATCAATCAACAACTAATACCCTTACTTGTAAGCAGGTTAACTAAGTCCCAGGATGCCTCTGAGAGTCAGATTATCTCTTCATCTGCATAAAGGAAAACAGACCCAGAAGGTGGCTATTTATAATATAAGCTAGTATTCACTAAAGATATATGGGCCAGGCACTGTGCTGAGCAGTTTACATAGATTGTCTCATAGCACCTAAAAGGTATATACGATTATTATGACCATTACACAGCTAAGGAGACTGGAGTCTGGAGAGTTACATTACTGGAATTTAATTCCAAGCAGTTATAGAGTCAATAAATATATCACTCCCTTAGGTAACTTGGAGGAAACACTCAGGCTTAAGGAGCAGAGTCCTTCACTTTTAGATGAATTTGAAAGGGCTGAGCTCTTCCCTGAGAAGACTGGTCAATAATGAGAAAGAAGACTTTGCTATGAGGGAAGTACAGTAGACAAGATTTTGAGATGTGAAAGGCAGAGACCCTCTGATTGACACTGTCAGAATGCCTTAGTTGAGTTTGCTATTTAAAAAAACACTTCCCTTAGATATAGAGGACAGAATCTCCTGAGTTTCTGCCCTCATGGATCACATTAAATAATGATTGGTAATCTTTCCTTCCCTTGTGTTATTTGGTGTTGTACTGACTGAGCAACCTGTCTTTTTAATATTATCAACTGCAATACTGAGGTTCTAATGTCTGCACTTCTAGTATGTTACTGATTAATAAATGACATCCAGATAGGTAATGAGATAGAAAAGTAATTTTTAAAGTAGGAGGTACAACCAGCCTTTTACAAGTCACCAAGATTTAATGGAGAGTATATGGACTCAAGGGCTAGGGAGACCCCAGTTAAGACCTAACTCTGACTCTTAGTAGATACACATGAATTTGGAAAGGTTTCTAACTTCTCCAAATCTTCATTTCTTCATCTTTAATATGGTTATAATGATATTGGTAGAATTGAAGTGAAATGTACATACTGAAAAACTGAGAGAATTAGACACTATAAAATTGCATATAATAGGCTCTACATGAGTGACAGATTTTGTGATGAGTACTATCAGGGTTAGTGCTACACACATAATTGTATATGTAATATTATTTAAGAAACTATTAAATAGCTTTAAATATCAGTCATAAAATGATGATGCCATTTTTTGTACAAAGAAGAGGAAGGCTGGATGCTCATTGATTGACCTGAAAGTGGAAGTCAGAAGACAATGCTTAACCACTATCATTAAGGAAAGTATGTAAAGCCTTCATTAAATTGAGACCCAGTTATTTGTTTATTTGCTTGATTTTCAATATGAGCCCTGAAAAAGGAAAACAGAACCATTTGGTATGACAGAAAAAGAGAGTTCATGTTACACCACAGAGAAAGACAGAAAGTAAAGGATTGGTAATTCCAGATATAAAGTCTTGAAACCTTATAAGCACCCAAAGCACTGAATAAAACAGTCTATGCACTCAAAGATTTCTGATCCATGAAAAAACATTCAGAGAGAAAAATAAAAGCAATCACATAAGAAAGAGACAAGGATTATGGCAGATTTCTTGTTAGAAATCATGCACACAGGGAAGACAGTACAGCATCTTTAAAATATTGAAAGAAAACAAAATTTTCAACCCAGAATTCTATGCCAGTAAAAATATATTTCACAAATGAATGCAAAACAGAGACTTTTACAGACATACAGAAGCTGAAATAATTCACCACCAGCAGACCCATACTACAAGAAATGTTAAAAGAAATCTTTTAGGTGGAAAGAAAATGATACCAGATGAACATATGGATATACAAAAAGGAATGAAGAACATTGGAAGTGGTAACTTTATGAGTAAATGTATAATATTTTAAAATTATATGTAAACTTCTTTAAAAGAGAATTGTTTACAAAATTAATAGCAATGTAACAGGCAGGGGAGAAATGGAGTACACAATGGTAAGATTCTTATGCTATGCATGAAGTGATATAATGTCACTTGTAAGTAGACTGTGATAAGTTAGATATGTATACCATACACTCTAAAACAACCACTAAAATAACAAAGCAATGAGTTATATAGATAATAAGCCAAAAAAGGAAATAAAATGGAATCATAAAAAATACTCAAGTGGTCCAAAAGAGGGTAGAAAAAAAAAGGAAACGGAAAACAAAGAACAGATGAGACAAATAGAAAACAAATAGCAAAATAATAGATTTAGGGACCTAACCCTATCAATAATCACATTAATCTAAATGGTCTAAATTTTTAAAATTAAAGGGTAGAGACTGCCATATTAGATTAAAAATATCCAAGTTAACTATATGCTATCTATAAAAATACACTTTAAATATAGAGGCACAGGGCTTCCCTGGTGGCGCAGTGGTTGAGAGTCCACCTGCCGATGCAGGAGACACGGGTTCGTGCTCTGGTCTGGGAAGATCCCACATGCTGCAGAACGGCTGGGCCCATGAGCCATGGCCGCTGAGCCTGTGCGTCCGGAGCCTGTGCTCCACAACGGGAGAGGCCACAACAGTGAGAGGCCCGCGTACCGCAAAAAAAAAAAAAAAAAAAAAAAAATAGAGGCACAAATAAGTTAAAAGGGTAGAAAAAATAAATATCATGCTAACATTATTTATATTAATATATTAATATCAAAGAATATTTCAGAGTAAATGATGCTACAGGAATAAAAAGGTCATAAGGATAATGTGGTCATTTCATCAAAAACACATAACAATGATAAATATTTGTGCACCTAATAATAAAGTTTCAAAATACATGAAGCACATGTGATAGAATTGCAAGAAGAAATGGAAACATTTACAAATATTGTTGAAGATTTCAATACCCTTCTCTCAATAACCGATAGATCAAGTAAAAAGAAAATCAGAAAGGATATAGAAGGCTTCAGCAACACTGTCAATCAAGTTCACAAACAAACCCATAGTACAAGAAATGTTAAAAAGAGGTCCTTCAAACTGAGAGAGAATGATACCATATGGATGTATGTATATACAAAAAGGAATGAAGAATTCTGGAAGTGATAACTAAGTGGGTATTACCTAGACATCAAGCCAGAAAAAGAAATGACAAGAAAATAAAACTACCAAATCAATATCCCTTATGAACATAGGTGCAAACGTTCTTAAAGATTTTAGCAAATCAAATTCAAAAATTATAAGCAAGTGAGGTTGACCCCAGAAATGCAAAGCCAGTTCAACATTCAAAATCCAAAATCTGTATCACTAGACTAGAAGATAAAATCATATGATCATCTCAATCAATGTAGAAAAAACATTTGTCATTTCTTCTGTAAAAACTGTCAGCAAATTACAATTAGTAGGGAGTTCTTCAGCCTAATAAACAGCAGCTACAAGAAATCCACAGCTAATATTATCATATGCAGTGGTGAAAGTCCAAATACTTTCCCCCCTTTAAGTTCAAGAACAAGACAAGTAGGTCTATTCTCAACACTTCTATTCAACATTGTACAGGAGGTTCTAGCCAGTCCATTAAGGCAAGAAAAAGAAATAAAAGGAATCCAGATTGGAAAGCAAGGAGTAAAATTATGTTTATTCCCAGACGTCTTGATCATCTATGCAGAAAAATCTGATGGAATCTACAAAACTAATACTAGAATTAATAAGTGTGTTTAGCAAGGTTGCAGGATATGAGACCAATGTACAAAAATCAACTGAATTTCTATATACTAGCAACAATCAGAAATTAAAATTTTAATTTCATTCTCAGAATATCTATTAATTTTATCTACTAATAAATATCACTGTTTTTATATGCTTTTCAAATATAGCTCAGAGTTTATGGTTTGTACTTATGGCTATTGTCTATTTTTGTTGTTGTTACAAGTGGAGGACTTTGTTTTTCCTTCTTTTTGTTTTCAGTAAGCTTTGGACTGGGGTTGGAACAGTAAATACTTAACTTTCTAATTTTTAAATGGAAGCTAAACTCTGTTCTCTGATTTAAGTCTCAAATTAAACACATGGAGTAGTAACTTCATTAAGAAATTTGTTGTACCTTTTTGTCACTGCCACAGAGTGGCAGTGATTAGAACTGAGGGCTTAGTACTTGGAAAGGAATAATTGACCTTTATAGGATGTACTACACAAGTCCAAGTTATTACAGCAATGGCAAAAGTCACAACATCAAAGAGTAAGATATAGTCACTCACCTGAATTCCTTTGGGTCCTGAAGTAACACACCAGAGCAGCAGTAGCAGCAAGGCCAAGGATGCTTAGCAGCCCTGCAGTGACCCCCTCGGTGATAAGCGTTATTTTGTTACTGGAAGGCCCTAAGTAAAGAGACCTATACTTGAGTTCAGGGCCAAATATTTTTTATCTAGACAAAAAACATGTAGGTGGGGGCTAGCGATATATTAGGACAGGTTTTTGCCAGGTTCTGATTTCTCAATTTGAATCATTTACAGTATAATTCGTAATTTTCAAAATAATAGCACATGAGTGATTGCCAGAATCTAACATTAAAATGTATTCCTTTTCCCTCCCCCACCCCCATGAAATCAGTACCAGTCTCCAGAAGCTTCAAGCCTTGTTTTCATGTTAATAACTCTGGCACTGGGAGAATTTCTACAGTCTATTGGAGAAATATTTTATTGCTTATAAATGTAACCTATAGCCCAGGTACCACCAACCCACCTGTGACGCTGAGTGTCACCATCTCACTGCGCTGGACCCCCAGGCCATTGTCAGCCCCACAAGAGAAGTTCCCAGAATGCTCTGCCATCAGAGTGAGGTTGAAGGATGCTCCTCCTCCAAAGGGGTCCGAGATGCTCCCCAGGGTGACATTCTTGTGATAAAACCAGTACAGGATCGGGGGAGAGCCTCTTTGGGCCTCACAGCGAAGCTCTAACACATCTCCCGCTATAGCCTGGACCCCAGCAGGGTGGAAGGTGAAGACAGGATGAGACACTGGAACTGAGGGAAGCAACATAGTTCATGAGCAGCTTTAATTAAGTATGTGTACAAGATAAGTTAATAAAGGAAATATTTAGTTTAGTTTAGTAGTAGGAACAGAGACCTGAGTTTAAATCCCGTCTCTGCTCTTTATTAGCCCTGTGATCTTGATGTTTTAAAAACTTTTTACTAGCTCCAAGTCTCAGTTTATTCCTTCGTAAAATGGAGCTAATAATAATTATATCACAAGCTATGGTAATAAGAATCATGTATGTAAAATGCTCGATAAATGTTAGCTACTATTACTGATATAAATAATAACTAAAAGCAAGGTTTGTTTCTCCATATAATTGATTGACTCCTGAGACTTAGCTTTAAACCTAGACTTCCACACCTATCTGAAGTAAGACCTCATTACCTTTTACCCAGTTACCTTGCTTTATTTTTCTGCATAGCATTAATACTAACATCTATCAATCTATGTATCTATGTATCTCTCTCTTATTTATCTATCTATCATCTATCATTGTTGTATATCTGATTCCTCTAATAGAACGTACGTTTCATAAGGATGAGGACTTATCTGTTTGTTCATTTTTGTATTTCCGGCTGCTGGAACTTTGCCTTGGCATGTAATAGTTCATCAACAATTCGTGAATGAGTGGATGACAAAATTGATCCAGATTGGCCCCAAAATATCCAGACACAGCAATAACAACATGATTTCCATTTTACTTTGTGATTATAGAAATAGGACAGCCAGGAAAAACAGAAAATCACTATGTTTTTAATTAATATATGGAATTGTTAATCAATAATTAATTAATGTGAAATGTGAACTGTGAGATTGCTGATTCTGCTAAGTTGTGAGGGAACCTGGATGAGCCAATCTGTGTGCAATGCTTTAGATATAAGCTGTGTGCTTCATTGGCAAGAGAAGTTTGGTAAGGATCTTAAGCTTTGCTTTGCATCTGAGATTGGCTAAAGGGGAGGGAGCATGGAGACAATCCATTGAATGGGAATAATTCACCCTTCTGTACATCCTTTACAATATATAGTGACCTGGGCCAAATGCGAAGGGTCTCAGGGGTAAGGCTTTATACATTCTTTGCACATCTCAGTGTGTCTTTCCACCCATGTCACCACCTCATATATTTTTATCCAATTTTTTTTGCTGTAAAATGCTCTTAACTTAACATTTTCCATCATAAACTTTTTAAGTGTACAGTTAAGTGGTATTAAATAATTTCATGACATTGTGAAACCAATACCACCATCCATCTCCATAACTTTTTACCTTGTAAAAGTGAAATTCTATACCCGTTAAACAATAACTCCTTATACTCCATTTCCCCACCCCCTGACAAGCACTAGGCTACTTTCTGTTTCTATGATTTTGACTAACCTAAACATCTTATATAAGTGGGATCATACAGTATTTGTCTTTTTTTGACTGGTTTGTTTCACTTAGCATAATGACCTCAAGATTCATCCAGGTTGTAGCATGTAGCAGAATTTTCTTTCTTTTTAAGTCTGAGTAATATTTCATATTATGTGCATACCACACTTTGCTTATCCATTTATCTATTGATAATGGATATTGGGTTATCAACAGATAAACGGACTGGGTTGTTTCCATGTTTTAGCTATTATGAATAATGTTGCTCTGTACACACGTGTACAAATATCTTTTTGAGAATATATTTTCAGCGTTGGGGGATGTATACCCAGAAGTGGAATTTCTGTATCATATGGTAGCTCTATTTTTAATTTTCCAAGGAGCCTCCATAGTGTTCTCAATAATGATTTCATCATTTTACATTCCTACCAACATTACACAAGGATTCCAATTTCTCCACATCCTAGCCAACACTTGTTATTTTCTATTATTTTTATAGTACCCATCCTAATGAGTATGAGGTGGTATTTCATTGTAGTTTTGGTTTGCATTTCCCGAATAATGAGTGATGTTGAGCATTTTTTTCATGTATCTAATAGCCATTTATATGTCTTCTTTGGAGAAATGTCTATTCAAGTCCTTTACTCATTTTTTTAATGAGTGCCCCATGACGCCAGCCCCTGCCCCTCAACCCACAGCGACAGAGTCCACAAACCTTATGACATCAGAAAGGGTATAGGTGCCAGCCTGACCCTAGCTCCCATGCTACCCCCTTGCTTTGCCTGCATTGGTGGAGCCTATGACTCAAGGGATCCCAGACACGAGAGAACAGCCCACCATCCTGGGGCACCAGGTGATGATAACAGCAACACTTCAGGAGCAAAGCAGCAGTAACTCCGGAGGCACAGGAAGCGATAATAGAGCCACACTTCTTATAGAGAAAGGGGAAGATGGAAAGTGACTACTCTCAAACATAGCCAGAGACAGCTTAGGTAAGAGAAACCAAAAACTTATGCCATACCACCACCTACTGGAAAACAAAAGAAAGGCCTCTGATTTCTAACTGTCACCACATCAAGTGCACCAGCAGAGAAACCACCCATCAAGTACCATGAAGAATCACAGTAACACTGTACCACAAAAAGAAACTGGAAATTCTCCAGAAACCAAACTTACAGTCATGAAATATTGTGATCTAACTGAGAAAGAATTCAAACTTACAGTCATGAAATATTGTGACCTAACTGAGAAAGAATTCAAAGAAAGTCAAAATAGTTGTCATTCAGAAACTCAAAAAGCTACAAGAAAACTCAGAAAGTCAGATTAATGAGCTCAGAAATAAAATTAATGAACAAAAGAAATACTTTACCAGAGATATTAAAACTCTAAAAAAGAGCCAAACAGGAATTCTGGAATTGAAGAACTGAATAAATGTTGAGAAGAATGCCTTGGAAAGCACTAGAAATAGATCAGACTATATGAAAGAGAGAATTAGCAATCTCAAGATAGAAATCTAGACATGATACAAGTATAAGAGGAGAGATAAATAAGATTATTTAAAAATGAGGGAATTCTCCAAGAGCTATCTGACTCTTTTAGGAAAGGCAACATTAGTATAAGGGGTGTCCCAGGAGAAAACAGGGAGAGAGGAACAGAGAGTATATTTAAATAAATAATAGCTGAGAACTTCCCAAACCTAGGAAAGAAACTGGATATACAAATCCATGAAGCTAAGAGAACACTTAATTACTTCAATGCAAAAATACCTTTTACAAGACATGTTATATTAAAATTGTCAAAAGTCAATCACAAAGGAAGAATTTTAAGGCAGCCTGGGGGAAAAAAGGATGGTAACCTACAAAAGAATCTCCATGAGCTTATCATCAGGTTTCTCAACAGAAACTCTACAGGACAAGAGGGTACAGAATGACATTCTCAAAATACTGAGAGATAAAAAGTGTCACCCAAGAATATTTTTTCCAGCAAAGTTATTATTCAGATATGAAGGAGAAACAAAGACCTTCCCATATGAATGAAAGCTGAGGGAATACATCAACACTGGTTCTGCTTACAAGAAATGTTGAAAGAAGCTCTTCTACAAAAAACAAAAAGGCAAAAGTATACAAAACTTTGAGGAAACTGAAATAGACAGAATCAGAAAATTGCAGCTCTTTATCAGAATAGGTTTTAAACACTTTATTATAGCATAAAGGTAAAAGGGGGGAAGCCAGAAAAATAACTATAGCTACTTCAATTTGGTAAAAAACTCACAATACAAAAAGAGATAATTTGAGACAATAAAAATATAAAAAGGGAAGAGGAAAAGGATGGAACCCATATAGGTAAATGAAGATAAGATTCTATCAGCAGAAAACAGACTATTTTATCTAGGAGAGGTCTTATGCAAACCTCAGTGTAACCACAAAATATAAGTCTAGAACAGAGACACAAAACATGAAAAAAGGGAAACTGAGAAAAATATCATAAAAAACCACAAAACCAAAATGGCAGGCAGAAACTTAAGGGGAAGAAAACAATGGAGATATAGAGCAACCTGAAAATGAAAGGTAAAATGGCAATACTAAATTCTCCTTTATCAATAATAACCTTAAATGTAAATGGGTTGAATTCACCAATCAAAAGACATAGAGTGGCTCGATGGAGTAAAAAATAAGACCCAATTCTATGCTGCCTCCAAGAAACTCACATTACCTTTAAAGACCAACATAGGCTCACAGTGAAAGGATGGAAGATGATACTCCATGCATATGGCAGGCAAAAAAAAAAAAAAAAAAGTAGTGGGTATAGCCATGCTCATATCAGAAGAAATAGACCTCAAGCCAAAAAAGATAACAAAGGACAAAAATGGACATTAATTGTGATAAAGGGGACAATTCATCAAGAAGATGTAATAGTGATAAATATATATGCACGTAACATAGGAGCACCAAAATATACAAAGCAATTATTAACAGACCTAAAGGGAGAAATTGACAGCAACACAATAATAGTAGGGAACTGTAACACCCCACTATTAAAGGATAGATTGTACAGAAAGAAAGTCAACAAGGAAACAGCAGCCTTAAAAGATACATTAGACCAGATGGACTTGATAAATTTATACAGAACATTCCATCCAAATGCAGTAAAATACACATACTTCTTAAGTGCTCATGAAACTTTCTCAAGAATAGACCATATGTTGGAATACAAAACAAGTCTCAATGAATTTAAGAAGATTGAAATCATATCAACCATCTTGCCTGATCACAATGGTATGAAACTAGAGATCAACCACAAGAAGAAAGCTGGAAAATCACAAATATGTGGAGACTAAACAACAAGCTGCTAAACAACTATTGGGTCAAACAAGAAATCAAAGGTGAATTGAAAAAATACCTGAAGACAAATGAAAATGAAAATATGACATACCAAAATTTAACTTTGCACATAAAGGAACTAGAAAAAGAAGAACAAATGAAGCTAAAAGTCAGTAGGAGGAAGGAAATGATAAAGATTCAAAGATAAATGAAATATACACTAAAAAGAAAATAGAAAATATTGATAAAAACTAAGACCTGGTTCTTTTAAAAGATGGACAAAATTGCCATACCTTTAGCTAGACTCACTAAGAAAAATGAGAGAAGGCTCTGATAAATAAAATCAGAAATGAAAGAGGAGCTATAACAATGAATGCCCAGAAATACAAAGGATTATACAAGAATACTGTGGACAGTTATATGCCAACAAATTGAGCAACCTAGAATAAATGGACAAATTCTTAGAATCACACAACCTTCTGAGACTGAATCATAAAAAAATAAAATCTGAATGACCAATCACTAGGAAAGAGACTGAAATAGAAATCAAAAACCTCCCAAGAATAAAAGTACAGGACCAGATGACTTCACAGGTGAATTCTACCAAACATTCAAAGGTGCTGTAAATCCTATCTTTCTCAAAATATTCAAAAAAACTGAAGAGAAGGGAATACTTCCTAACTTATTTTACAAGGCTAACATCACCCTGATACCAAAACCAAAGACAACACACAAAAAAGAAAATTACAGGCCAATGTCTCAGGTAACATAGATGCAAAAATCCTCAACAGAATATTAACAAGCCGAATAAAACAGTACTTTAAAAGGATCATACACCATGATCACGTGGGATTTACTCCATGTATGCAAGAGTAGTTCAACATTTGCAAATCAATCAACACGATACATCACGTCAATAAAATAAAAAATAAAAATCATATGATCATCTTGATAAATGCAGAAAAACCATTAGGAATGGCCTAAGTTCCTGAATGTAGAGTCAGAAGAAAGAATCCCAGGACTCTCAGGTAGAGGAAGAAAAAGTGGGGAGTCTGCTGGAATGTCACACCAGCAAGTAGCCCAAAAGAGAAGACACAGTCTGTTCTGGGCTGTAATTGCTGCAGGCATCCCTACTAACCTGTGACACTGAGAGTCACTCTGTCACTGAGCTGGACCCCCAGGCCATTGTCAGCCTCACAGGAGTAGTTTCCAGAATGTTCTGCAGTCAGAGAGAATTTGAAGAATGCTTTTCCTGAGGGAACTGAGCTGCTCCCCAGGCTGACACCATCATGATAAAATCGGTACAGGATCGGGGGAGAGCCTCTCCGGGCCTCACAGTGAAGCTCCATCACGTCCCCCACCACAGCCTGGGCCCCAGGAGCCCTGAGGGTGAGGACAGGGCGAGACACTGGAACTGAAAGAGATAGTAGACTGTCAGAGGACTCTGATGCTGTGACAGACTCATAACCCCACTCAAGAAACTTAAATATAGATATATCTCTTGAACCATGAAGAGTAATCCTAGATAATTTTGTTTTCATCACTACGGTCCTCTCCACAAGTAAAATATCTTCAACTTTTGTCATCTTTGCCATTCCTTGGTTAGCTTCTAAATCTTCACAACTCTGTTCCTTTGCCTTCTTCCAAAGAGTCTCATGGCTGATAGAAAGCCTAAACCCTGGCTTGTGAACCGAGGCTGAATAGAAGGAATCGGGAACTTACTTCTCAGTGTGACTCTAATCAGTTCACTGAGGATGGGACCGTGAATGTTGTCAGCTGCACAGTAGTATCTCCCAGCATCATGCTCCTTCACAGTGAGTATCTGCAGCTCTGCCGACAAGGAACGCTGGGTCTTTGTTCCCAAACTTCTCACTGTGCCCTCTCTGTGCCAGGAGAATGTGACAGTCCCTGTACCGTTGGCTACTGAGCAGATAAGGAGCAGATTTTCTCCTTCAATCAGCTGCCCCTCGGGGGGCTGGATCTCTAGATTTACATCAGACACAGGGACTCCTGGGAGGACACAAGATGACACATGAGGGTTCTCATGGCAGAAACTTCAGGGTCAAGGAGAAGGCTGGTTCTGTCACGAACAAGCCCATAGCAGCAGGTACAATAAGCAGGAGTCCAAAGTGGGCAATAAGGAATTAATTGTGCATGTTATTATAAAGGCAGAAACACCCCTCCCACCACATACAACAGTTCCCATTCTTGGGGAATGTGGGGACTAGGCTCCGGATCTTCTTAAACCTAATGCTGACTGCAGTCACATTTTATTTACATTTATATCTAAGGAATCTTTGGTGCACTGATGGATCACAAAATAAGAGTGAACCCTGAGAATATTACTTCTATCCTGAAATTCAAACCCCTTTCCTATCCTTCAAGACTCTTCTCCAGTCTCACCTCCATCTTCTCACATTCTTTTCTGATTATTCCAGTTCACGTTTATCTTCCACTTTTATTTTGGAATATGTTTAGGTCAACAAACGGAAGCAGCATAGGGACCTCTAAAGACTGCTTGTGGTCATCTGTGTCTGTTGACTTTTTTTTTTCTTTTTTGCGCTACGCGGGCCTCTCACTGTTGTGGCCTCTCCCGTCGTGGAGCACAGGCTCTGGACGCGCAGGCTCAGCGGCCATGGTTCACGGGCCCAGCCGCTCCACGGCATGTGGGATCTTCCTGGACCGGGGCACGAACCCGTGTCCCCTGCATCGGCAGGCGGACTCTCAACCACTGTGCCACCAGGGAAGCCCTATCTGTTGACTCTTGAGAGAACATATCCTGTAAGGCTCTGCAACCCCCCACAGGGTTGGGGACCCAGTAACTGATCAATAACTGTTATTAACTGAGTTAGATGGAAGAGAATGTTCTAGGGACATTAGGCCAGTGTTGAACCTGAAGAGAGAAGGATACCAGGACAGCTGAAATTCTCCTCTCTGTTATGTTCAGTGTCCTAGGGAGCAGGAAATGTCATTGCTCTCCTCTCCTCTCCCCGGCTCTGACTCTGGAAGTGCAGCCCCACAGACACTCACTCTGCACATGTATCTGGGATCTCAAGCTTCTTTTCCTGACATGGTGAGTCACTGTCTCTGCCTGGCACCAGTAAGACCCTGAGTTTTCACTCCACATGGTAGGTAAATTGAGCTCTGGGGAGCTGCTCCAGCCTGATCCCAAGGCCTGGTCTTCTCTGAAGAAGCAGAATTGAAGCTGAATGTATGACCGCTGTGGAGGGAGCCAAGTCTCACATTTCAGGGTCACCGGTCTCCCCTCTATGGGCTGGGAGGGTCTGGCTGTCAGCACAGGAGGGGGAAACAGCTCTAGAGAGAAGAACAAACACAGTTCCCAAGGTAGTGAGGCTCAGGGCTCCTGGAAAGATGCACGTGTGCTTTCAGCACCAGCTATCAGAACACAGAGACCCAAGTAGGTGGAACCACTTCCCATCTCCCTCCCATGACTGGAGGATTTTCATGAAATCCCCACTGATGAGCCCCTCCCTAAATCCTCACACAGTTTCCCTGCCAAGTCCTATTACCCACAGGAGGGCAGCCATTACCTTGAACTTGAATTGTTAGAGGTTTTGAAATGTCTCTCGTTATTCCCCAAAAGTGTTTCCTAGAAGCAGTACAATGATATTTGCCATTGTCCCTGGAGACTGAATTTAGTGTGAAGTTTGATATATAACTCTTCCTAATTTCTTTTTTATTTTTGTATAAAACTGTTTCACTTGTTGCTTCTCTCCCCTGGCATCTCAGAACAACATCATCTCCTTCAAAGACAGGGTGTGGAGCCTGGATGATCAGTCTGTCTGCAAAGAGTGGAGGAATGCAATCAATTTATTTCCTGATGCTTGTTTCTTCAAACTCTCATTTCTGCCCATGAAGAAAGAGCTGCAATCCTATACATACCTGCAACTGTCCTCCATCAACATTTCCACATGATCCCAAAACCCAGTTCTCCCTTGTCCTAGGATAATGAACTAATTTCCAGAAAATATCCTTAAGAAATCCTCATACATATTGTTAAAAGAGAAGTTTTATACCATACATTTCTTCAGACACAAGTCCCTTTTTCCTGGTGACTTCCCCCATACTTACCAATACTTACCAATACTTCCTACCAATACTTACCAATACTTCTCTGGATGGAGAGGATGGACAAGGCAGCATCCTGTTGCTGTCCTATCTCCTTATTTTCCCCACTGGGGTCAATACATCAAATATCCTCATGCCTGTTTACAGCCCTGCCTAGGCTCCCTGCATTAGCCTAGCCCTTAGACATCCTGCCCAGTGGTTTAATTTCAGAGGCTCCCTCCTTTCTTTCCTCACCAGGTAAAAAATCCATATGTACGGGGTCACTGGGAGAAGATCTTCGAGTCTTGCATTTGTAATATCCAGTCTTGTGTATTTGGATCTCTTCAGATTTATTATCCAACAAATGATCATTATGATACCAAGATATGTCTCCTTGGGCTGGAGAAAGGGAATCTCTGCATGTGAGAGTCACTCTGTCATTTTTGAAGTTTGTGGACCATGGAGGATTGAGGAGAAGAAAAGCTTTTGGAGTTACTCCTGAATAGGAAATGGAAAGACGAAGGCAGGTAAAGGTGAATGAGAGGTGGGTGGAGCGTAAGGAAGGGCCCAGCTGCAACTAGGAGTTTTTCTGGGCTAAATCCTATTAGGACCAGGGCTGGAAATGGAGCAGACACAACTTGGGGAACTGCCTGGGACAGAATCTGTTCTTTGTCATTTTTTGCCTAGTAGCAGTGGGTGGGTAGGTGTCATGCGGGATAGGTCTCAGGTTCCTGGTATGGGCTCAGAAAAGTTCAGGAGACATGATTCGTAGTTGGGCAAACACTGTGAGGGCCTCTGAAGGTGGGCTGATTCTGAAATGCTCTTGTCCTATACATTCCTGTCAAGGTAAAAGTCAGCCTGCGATGTATATACCTCAGAAGCAGTTTCTAGACTCTGAAAAACCAGTACCTACTTGGTTATTAATATCTAATGAACAAGATTTGTTTCACTTACAATTCTTTTAAACTTTGCTTAATTTGAGAGTCTATGGGGAAGGCAACATTTTTCTACTCTCCGCCTAAGGTGAGTATAATCAGTAATTGATACAGGATATAAAAAATTTGAACAAAGGGGCATGGACTGCTTGCATAATCATATTTGTATATATAATTGCAACTAACCAATGGGACCAGAAATTGAAACAGTGTAGTGACATGAGCTTCTTTCGGAGATGTATAAAGATTTGGCTTTAGCATTTTCCACTGTGAATAGGATATATTTCTATGTTCTTTGATAGTGGTACCAGCTTGGACATACAGAGGGGTCTTAGGGAATAGAGGAGATCAGATCTGAGTTTCTCTCAATATGAGCCTCCTGCCTCTGCCTTTCCTTCTGCAAATATTTCCTTCCCCTCCGCACTGTGGCATTCGGTAATAGGGAAAGAACTGAAGACTGGAGAAGTCAGAGGAGGGTCTGCTCACCCACTAATGCAACAGGTGTGACCTCGGAGTAGCAATACCACTGATGTTGGCACATCACCACAGGCCTCATTTATGGGTCCAGGCAGTGCTGGCTGGGAGGACCAATGCCCAGAGACCAGGAGGAACAGAGAAAAGGGAAAACTGACCTGATTGATCTCTTCCAGGAGCTGTGAGGGAGCCAAGATGTAAAGGTTAGCACAGAGCAATGTTTTTCAAACCTTTTCACTTACACAATTTGAGAAGTGTTCCAACAACCCAGCCACAACCACTTCTTCGGTTTTTCCTTCCCATTTCTTTGCCCCTATTCTATGATACCCATAGTCCCCAAACAAAGAAACAAAAAAGAATAGCCTATAATTTATTGTATAAACATGAATGACTTGTACCCACAATCCTGACTCTTCTCTTTGCTATTTAATACTTAGCAGCTTCATAGTTCATTCCCCCCTGTCTTCCCTAGCCTGAACTCAGCCATGTAGAGACAGAAAAGGCCTTGGAGAAATGGTTTCTCCTCCCCTCATTACTTGGGTACTCTTCCTCCTACATTTTCAATCTCTGGCTAAATGCTGGCTTAAAGTCTCAGGAAGCGGGGTCATATTTCTCAGTAGATCTTCCCTTACTCAACTGAATTTTGAAAATAATTGTTTATGTGAGGGATTTAGAAGGGGTTTGGTGGAAAGAAACATCCAAGCTTCCGATGAGATGAAAAAGAAATGGTTGAAGAATCAAGGGTAATATACTTGGTTTGCTCTGTTGGCTTTGGTTTTCCTGGGACCCAGCTCTGCTCATTCTTCATCTCTTGTGTAAAGAAAAAAGTGTTGCCTGCCGTTCCAGTTCTACAGTGATCAAGCTATTAGCCATCGTAGTTGCCGACAGACAGTGTACTCTGAGGAATTCAGGATGAAGAAAGACAGGAAACATTCTGGGCTTTGGATATATTGGCCCTTAGACAGTTAAGATGCATATCTAAGGGAAAGTTTCAAATGACCCCAGATTCTTGCATCTTCCCATACAGAGAAAAGCACTAAAATCGGTGAGATTTCTCTTCTTTGTGATTAGCAGTAATCTTTTGATGCTTGACTACATGTTTTACCAGCAAAAAGTTTATATATATCCTGGCTCCTCCCTTACCTCTTCAGAGCAGTTCCTCAGAGCTATCTGAGAGGCTGTCTTCTGGGCTATAGTCTTCAATAATTTCCCCAAATAAAACTTAACTCAGATTTCACATTGTGCAGTTTTCTTTCAGTCAATAGTTTTGGTGACCACAAAGGGACCCAGAGCAGACTTCACTCCTTTGCCTGAGGATCAGGAGCCTTGGTACCAGCAAGAGCCTCTTGTGCCCATTTGCCTCTTCCATGAGTTTAGAGAAATTTGGGTGAGTCTCTCCTGGTTCTCGGATCTCACAATTATTATTATTATTATTTTGGTTTAAGGCCCATGTTCATCATGTCCTTTATTATATCATCCATGCATATTAAGACTACAAATGACTTTCAGCTACTTAAACATATAATCATGATATAATGTCCATGGCTTTATAGAGTCCCAGCATAATGTTTCATATATTCTTTTTTTTAAACATCTTTATTAGGGTATAATTGCTTTACAGTGGTGTGTTAGTTTCTGCTTTATAACAAAGTGAATCAGTTATACATATCCATATGTCCCCATATCTCTTCCCTCTTGCGTCTCCCTCCCACCCTCCTTATCCCACCCCTCTAGGTGGTCACAAAGCACTGAGCTGATCTCCCTGTGCTATGCGGCTGCTTCCCACTAGCTATCTATTTTACGTTTGCTAGTGTATATATGTCCATGCCACTCTCACTTTGTCCCAGCTTACCCTTCCCCCTCCCCGTATCCTCAAGTCCATTCTCTAGTAGGTCTGCATCTTTATTCCTGTCTTGCCCCTAAGTTCTTCTGACTATTTTTTTTCTTTTTTTTTTTAGATTCCATATATATGTGTTAGCATACAGTATTTGTTTTTCTCTTTCTGACTTACGTCACTCTGTATGACAGTCTCTAGGTCCATCCACCTCACTACAAATAACTCAGTTTTGTTCCTTTTTATGGCTGAGTAATATGCCATTGTATATATGTGCCACATCTTCTTTATCCATTCATCTGTTGATGGGCACTTAGGTTGCTTCCATGCCCTGGCTATTGTAAATAGAGCTGCAATGAACATTTTTGGTACATGACTCTTTTTGAATTATGGTTTTCTCAGGGTATATGCCCAGTAGTGGGATTGCTGGGTCATATGGTAGTTCTAGTTGTAGTTTTTTAAGGAACCTCCATACTGTTCTCCATAGTGGCTGTATCAATTTACATTCCCACCAACAGTGCAAGAGGGTTCCCTTTTCTCCACACCCTCTCCAGCATTTATTGTTTGTAGGATCTCCCAATTATTGGTTGATGATCCTGAGTTAGTTCTATTTTGTGGTATATAATAGGGATTTGTCCCCCCCTCCCCCTGAGGCAGGAGATAGATGGGCCCCAGGTTAAACATTTACAACTGGCCTCCCATTTACATTTCATGAGGCAGGAAAACATGGGCTTCGGGCTGGACACTTACAGCTAGACTTCCGTTTGCATTTCCTAGGACAGGAGATAGATGGCCTCCAGGTTAGACATTGAAAATCAGTCTCCTGTTTGCTCTCCGAAATGGAAGCAATGACAGAGACAGTGTAAATAGCCAGGCTTCATCTCCTTTGGACACCTTCAAAAGCTGAGGGGTGATCTGACAAGCCCAACCACACGCCGCCCGGGCTGGGAGTCTCCACTCTGTGTTCAGTTCTGTTCATGTGTACATGTGTGCAAGTGTGTTTGTGTGTGTACGTGTATGCATGCAGGGTGTGTACAGCTGAATAACAGGAGAGGATCTGCTGGGTTCCAGCATCCTGTGTCCCCCTCCCCGGCTGCCCTTGCTCGGGGCCACCTTAAGATAACAGTCATGGCTGGAACAGAGAGGGGCTAAACCTTGTTTGAGTAAAGGGTCAAGAGGTCACACATTTCCCCTTCTTGGGGCAAGGGACACATTGCACATGGGCAGAAAGTCTCCTTTAGGGTCAAAAAGGAGGGCTCACCACCCCATAATATGTGATGCTAAGGCCACCCCATAGGCCTTTGGGCTGAAATCCAACTTGGAAAAAAGTTGCACACACATGTTGGGGAGGGTCCTAGGGCATGTCAGGTGTGGAAAAAGAAGCCAGATAATTGGCCAAAGGTAAACAAAGACCCGGAAGAACTGCCCTATATAAACGACTTAACTGCCTCTTTATCTTCTCCTTAGGGAGGATGCCCACACCTTTTCTCTCGGGGCGTGCATCTCTGCCTTGCTAAACAAACTGTTTCTCTGTGTTGTCTCCCTCTTGTGCTATGTCTCTAATAATAAACTTTGTACCTGTTTTTACAGTTTTTACCTCCATGAGAAATGCATTTTTCACTGGGGGCAAGAGCCATGGGGTGTGGTGGCTATGATTCCTGGTTTTCATCCAGGCTACCCGGGTTCAATTCCTGGGCAGGGAATTAAGATCTCGCTTCATGCCACCACTCACTTTTGCCTCTCCAAAATCACCTCCACCCCGGTTTAAAGATACTGGGGGAGCCTGGTTAAAAGATACAAGGATTTATTCAGTTGAAAGACACTGAGCCTCTGGGCTGGGTAAAATGAAGGGCATCAGAAAGCCAGCCTCCAACTAACACTCCAGCCATGTTTATGTACATATGGAATTTATACTTACAAATATTGAATACTTGTTTAATTGGGAATTAAAGGAAATCTTGCCCTAAAATGGCCAAGATAGGGTTCTTTTGACATTCTAAAAATGATTAGAAGAAAGCCAGCTTGATAAAACATCTTTTCAAAATTTTGACCTTAAAGGAACAAAAGCCCTTCTAGGAGGAACTTGCATTTCTCTCCCTGTGCTTTTGAGATGTAAATGTTATATCTGATCTTCTTAGGCATTTTATTCCGTGTTTCGAGAGCTTGGTCTTTGCCATCCGGAAGGTACACATATGGTGTACATTTGGCAGCCAGCTGAATAGATTGGGATTCCAAGCAGTCATCTTGTCTGGCTATGCCAGCTCTCAGGAAAATTTGTTATAAGGAGTCCCAGCCCATAAGGGGCCTTGTCATCTCAACCTTTGTTTTGTGTACCTGCACAAAAAAGACCTTTAGTTTCTTAGACTATTATGGGGAGTAAACTTTCTGTATTTTAAGAAGGCTGCATTCTTTGCGCTCTCTTGTGGGGTTGCCTCTTGCGTCTTACTGGTTTGAGTTGCTATTAAGATACTATTCATCAATGGCCAGACATTGGATTCTTTAAATTGGAGAAACTTCTAAATTGCTAAATTTTTAGAGAGCTCTCATTTTAAACAGCTGTTTTATTGGTGCCTATGAAAATACCAAATTAAAAGGTAGATGCAAAATATATATATATACATACATAAGTAAAACAGGTAACCTTAAAAACTCCCTTAGTTTAAGGGCTTCCCTGGTGGCGCAGTGGTTGCGAGTCCACCTGCCGATGCAGGGGACAGGGGTTCGTGCCCCGGTCCGGGAAGATCCCACATGCCGCAGAGCGGCTGGGCCCGTGAGCCATGGCCGCTGAGCCTGCGCGCCCAGAGCCTGTGCTCCGCAACGGGAGAGGCCACAACAGTGAGAGGCCCGCGTACTGCAAAAAAAAACAAAAACAAAAATACAAAACAAAAAAAACCTCTCTTAGTTTAAAACTAACAAATAAAAATGTTTTAGGAAGCCTTATTTGTGGTCTCAGCTTCCCTTCAATGGTTCTTGCAGATGCTAATAAAAACATTAGCTTAATTAATGTTAATTAGGTTGATTAACAGGAGAATAAGAAGAAACTGAGGGGAAAGTCAAGAGACTTCTTCCCAACGAAGTGAAAATTTTAAAGGGACTTATCCCAACAGAATGGAAATCTTTAGATGATTATTAGGAAATGGGATAAATAAAATGGATTTTGATAGGATTAAAACAAAAGTTTTGACTACCTGGGGTTGGATAGACCAAAGGGACCCCCCAATTAGTCCCCCCAACATTAAAGTGCACTCTATTAACCCCTATTTTGAAACAAAATTTAAAGGCTGGAAGAAAATTACACTGAGATACCTGACTAGCATTTGCTTGGGACAACAGTGAGATCAATTA